AAACAAAAACAAAAACTGAAGAAAATAGGTCTGTAGTGGGAGGTTTTACATTTGACCAGTTAGGGGTTAGTTTGTGTTCTGCAAAAGACTTACTAAATCAGAAACTATGGAGTGGGGTCCAGCAATTCGTGTTTTTAACAAGCCCTCCCACTGGTTCTGATGAATGCCAAATTTGAAAACGACTTCTGTACCATCACAATTACTAAGACCATGGTAAATTGGGGAAAAGTATCGGTAGAAGGGCATGCACTGGCTTTTATAATAGCTCCAGCATTTGAGAAAGATAAGGACAATTATAAGAACTGTGGAGTTGGCTGGTTTTTGTTAATTATTATTAATGTGCTATAGGAAGGAAAGGACAAGCTCATGTTAGCCAGCTATCTACTCAAGGCATATCATGAAAGCTAGAAATCATCCCTGGCAGCCTTTAAAGAGACTTTCAGAACAAGGGTTCCTTTGAGAAATGTTTTATTTAAGACTGAGACAGAGAAAATACAAGGTGAGACTGAAGCATTGTGGTACCAGAAAGTAAAGAAATGCTCAAAAAAAAAAGAATAGGGACACATCAAAGGGACATGGAAGGTGAAGCTTAATTCCCTCCCTTTCCTTTGAGGATGGCCTAGACTCAGTAACCTGCTTCCTTAGAGTAGGGAAAGGGAAAAATATTAACTATAAAATGGAAGAACTTGGCAAATGGTACATTTTGAAGTGCTGAATAGTTACCATCAGCAGAAATCATGTGAATATCACGTATCCCCTACAATGATGTGATGAGGACACCTCACCTCAGAGGTATTCTTTCCAAAACCCCGTAACACTCATCTAAGCATGAAAAAGTCATCAGACAAACCTAGATTCGGGGACAGTCTATAGGATATCCGATCAGCACTCCTCAAGACTATCAAGGCCATGAAAAACATGACTAAGAAATTGCCACAAATCAGAGGAGACTAGGGACACATGACAACTAAATGAAATGTGCTACCCTGGTATGCAGAAAAGAATTAACAGGGATGCCTGGGTGGCTTAGTCAGTTGGGCTTCTGCCTTTGGCTCAGGTCTTGATCCCAGGGCCCTGGGATAGAGCCCCATAGTGGGCTCCCTGCTCAGCAGGAGAGTCTGCTTCTCCCTCTCCCTCTGCCCCTCCCCCTGCTTGTGCTCTCTCTCTCTCTCTTTCTGACAAATAAATAAAATCTTAAAAAAGAAAGAGTTAACAAAGCAGTCTTGAGATTGCTATCCTTGGAAAGGCCTGCTTGCAAGGTTGGCCCTTGACTGGAGTCTGGGAACTTAGATTTTGGGAGAGTTCCCACAATTCCCTTATAAGTATGGCTCATGGTGCCCAAACTGTTTGTACAAACAATACAGTTTATGGTGAACACCTGCTTTCCTTCTGAGAGTCTAGAAATTTGGGTGCTTGTTAGCTAGAGGGTACCTGGGTGACCAGCCCTTAATAAAAATCCTAGGCATTGAATGTGCAATGAGCTTTCCAGCAGACAACATTTCTGGTTATCACAACTTGTTGCTAAAGAAATTAAACATGTCCTGTGTGACTCCACTGAGAGGGGACTCTTGGAAGCTTGTACTTCTGGACTTACCCCAGGTACCATTTCTCTTTGCTGATTTTGTTTTGTATCCTTTCATTGTAATAAATCATAGTCATGAGGATGACCAAATGCTGATTCCTGAGTCCTGGCGAATCATTAAACTTGGGGGTGGTCTCGGGGAACCTTGACACAGCTGGATTGGATCCTGGGGAAAAAAGAGGACATTAATGTAAACATTGGTAAAATCCAAATAAAGTTTGGAGTTTAGTTAATGGCAATGAGCCAATGTTGGTGTTTTAGCTTTGACAAATGTATCATGGAACTGTAAGATCTTAACAATGGGAGAAACAGGGTGAGGGGTAAATGAGAACTCTTTATACTATCTTTGTAAATCTAAAATTATTCCAAAATAAAAAAATTTATTAAAAAAGTAACACTCAGAAGGGATGGGGTGGCTTGGTCATGGACATTGGGGAGGGTATGTACTTATAGTGAGCACTGTGAATTGTGTAAGACTGATGAATCACAGACCTGTACCCTTGAAACAAAGAATACATTATATGTTAATAAGAAATTTAAAAAAAAGTAACACTCAAACAAAATGCTTTGGAAATTCATAAAAAAGACTATACCATTCATATACCATTCATCAGAAAGAGAGAGAGGGAGATTATCTAAACTGAAACACAAAGAAAAAAATGAGAGAGAGTGAGCGAGAATGCAAGCGCTTTATTTACTGTAGCCACAGGGACAGATTGTAGTTAAAAAAAAAAAAATCAAACTCAGGATGCAACTGTGAGAGTAGCAGAATTTAGAAGATTGAATTCATAACCCATAGCATGTCTCCTAAACTAAAGTCAGGGCCCAGAAGGGAGAATAATGAGACCCTGAGATCTAGGGTCACTTGCCCTTGCTATCGGATAGTGACCACCCTTTGAAAACCATGGAGAAGTCTCACCTGAGAAGATGCCTTTCAAGATGCTAGATTCCTTTAAGATTTGCCACAACTATCTCCAGTGTTTCTAGACCAATAACTAGAGTCAACTTTCATCATGGCCTTACTGGGGGAGCACTGTCCCTGTTTTGGAATAAAAAAGGTTGTTCACCAAACACGCACTGGCAGAATTGGAAGAACACACCTGGCTGGGGCTGGATCTCAGTATATGTTCAGGGAACGTGCTCTGTTGAGTGTAAACCCAAAATAACCAAGAAAACCCTAAAGAACTGAATTGAACTGAAATTGATAAGGTTATTTTCTGTTACCAGGGATCCCCTGTTACAGGGGGACAAAAAAGGTTATATTACAGAAAAATGTAAAAGTTGCATTTCTTTACACAGCAGAATTTGTGAGCTGTCAGTGACATATCTTTTAATTCTTCATCAACTTCATCAGGTGAAGTTGCAATGAACAATCTTTGTATCCTCTTGTTTCTAACACAGAGTCTGGCTCTTAGTGACTATTTAGAAATTTGCTAATTGAAGGAACTCACCAAGAGACTGGGTACACACAGAGAAAGGTAAATACCTATAGATTCTTGAGTATGCTTGCCATTCAAGGTGAGAAGTGTCTTTAAAATGTGAATGCTTTCCAAAGGCTAATCCTCAGACCTTTGTTCTTAGTACAAGCTCTTCTACAATATCTCTTCTAAAGGCTTTCAAGCGCTGCAATAACCTGCTAAACTGTTCTGTGAGATTCTGCTATTTCAGTTACATGGTGCATGCTGATGTCAGATTACCATCCAGATACTTTTTTTAGTATGTTACTCTGCTGCTCAAAATCTTTAAATGAGGGGCGCCTGGGTGGCTCAGTCATTAACCATCTGCCTTCGGTTCAGGTCATGATCCCAGGGTCCTGGGATTGAGCCCCATGTCGGGCTCCCTGCTCAGTGGGAAGCCTGCTTCTTCCTCTCCCACTCCCCCTGCTTATGTTCCCTCTCTCCTGTCTCTCTCTCTCTCTGTCAAAAAAAAAAAAAAAAAAAAACCCACAAAAAACAAAGAAAAAAACTTAAAAAAATCTTTAAATGAGTATTTAGGGCCTTACATGCTAAAATTAAAACATCTTAGTTTCTTGAAGGCTCTTCCCAATCTGTTTCCTCTTTATCTGGTCTTATTTTCCATTCCAACTCTAAGTCTTAATCCTAGAAAGTCTCTAAACATATTTTTAACATCCTAGGTTCAGTGTTTTTGTTTTTGTTTTTTTTTTGAAAACCAGCTCCCTTCACCTGCAAATCTTTATTTGTGCACCAAGTTTATAGAACATGCAACCACCTTTCTGAACTATTTCATGTGTAAGGGTTCTCTGGTTGTAAATGCTTTTATTTGACCCATTGTCAAAATGTGGAAATAATTCTTAACATTTAAAAATCATTGAAAAATTTTAAGTTCTAGTAGGGCCCACACTTCAACAAATGACTAAAGTTTACTAGCAGTTGCCATCTTTGGATATGTGTTTTTCAGTTGGATAGTCACAACTACATTGGAAAAATATTTATTGAGCACCCATTACTTGCCAGACACTCTTTTGGATGCTGGGGATAAAGCAATGAACAAAACTCGTCATGGAGTTTATATGCTAAAGAGGAGGGACAGAAAACATAATTACATATTAGGAAGTGATAAATGCTATAGATAGAGCAAGCCCGGGACAGGGTTAAGAGGGATAGGACCTGAACAGATGAGACTGATGGCATCTTGAGCTCTTCATTTGTTTTGACCCTGATGTATTTGGAGCGGAGGCGTTGTTTTTAAGAAAAAAACATGTCATGTAGGTTGTCTAAAAATAAAATACATTTAAACTAAAAAAAGGGGGGGGATAGGGAATTTGTGGTTGGAAAGCGCACCTGCACTTTTCTATTCACTTAACTGGCTGGCTCCTACGGAAATTTGATTTGTGGCCCCTATCAGGATCGTAATATACTGTCTCGCGCATGCTATACACTGGCCCTAAAGAACTGTCAGCAGCTTTAAGGCAGGAAGTGTGTGCCTCATTCGTCTTTGGATTCCCAGAGTCGAGCAGTGTTTTCCGGGCGAAAAGTTAGGGAATCCCCACAGAGCTATAGTTACTTCGGCCACTGCTTTCCAGGGTGGTTATTCCAAGAGGGGTTAGACGCCGAGGCTCCATCCGTTTCCAGGGCAACCGGACTGTGACGCAAACGCAGCCATTAGTCCGCCCTCGAGGGATCAGACTGCATTTTAGGAACGAATTAAATGAGCGAGAACGAGATTCTCTGAACGCGGAAAACGCCGCACGACCACGCCCCTTCAGTGTCGCCGCCCGCAGGCGGCTTCCGGGCCTCTAGGGTCGCCCAGTTCTAGGCGCGACAACTTCCGGCCCCGAAGGTCCCCTGCTCCGTGGCTTGCTGGGGTCCTAGCGATGGAAAGGTGGCCGCGGCGGCCGCCTGACAACCCCCCCCCCCCCGCCCCCCCGCAACGGAAGCCTGGGACAATGGCTGCTGCCTTTTCCGGGGAGGCGGCGGCGACAGGAGAGCTGAAAGGATACGCACGCCGGCGGGAACTCGTCCCGGGAAGAGAATTAGGCCGGAGCGCGGGGGTGGAGTGCGGACCCAGAGCTGGCCCGTCAGGCGGTAGCCGGGCAGGTGCGGTGGCGGAAGTGCGAGGACGCGGTCGGAGCGGAGCCGTCTAGGAAGCGGCGGCCGTGGATCACCCATCCTGGAGCAGCCGCCGCCCCACGGCCAGATCGCAGCGATTAGGGCTCAGGCGACGGAAAGATGCCTCTGTTCACCGCTAACCCCTTCGAGCAAGACGTGGGTAAGTGGTGGGCACGGGCTCGGGCCGCTGTTTGTCGTGCTAGAAAGTGGGCGGCGGCGACTGTGGGGACTGCAAAGCCAAGCAAAGGGAGAGAAGGGGGCGGTGCCGCTGCCTCGCCGCCCGGATTTTTCAGGGGGCTACCTTGACGCGTCGCTAGCGGCCTGGGGCGTGCCTCTTGCACACCTGTGGTTGGAGTCCCCGAAAAAAGATTTTTTTTCCCCTCTCCGAGCGCCGGAATAGGGAAGAGCCTATGGCTTGTTGGGGACTGGACCAAGTAAGCAATTGCGGAGTTGATGATACAAACTTCCTGCTCCGTCTGCAATTGGTTCACCACCACCCCCTCCCCCAACTTGTAGATGATGCAGTGGTGGAATGACCCTACTGTCTGAGGCAGCCCAACACTAGAGACCTCGACTTGCCTCCATTCAATAGGCAAGCCCTATTTCACCTCGCTCCTCTACAAACGCGTCCAAGCTCCGATAGCACAGCTTCAGAATTTATTTACAAAGCCTCGAAGTGTTACTCTATCCATGGATGGCGCAAGTGCTCCGAGATGTTCTGTCTTAGGGTATGAAAAGGAAAGCCCTAGGATCTCAAAATAGTTAGAACAACTACTGTCTTATTTGTTGGAATTGTAAGAGCGATGTTTTTAGTGACTGTGGAATGAGAAAAAAGATGATAGGATATGAGAACGTATTTTGGGCACTAGAAGAACGGTAAAATAAACTGGCTTTCCCCCCAGTGACTCCTAAGGTCCTTGTATGGCTTAGTGGATCACAGTTTAATATTCTAGGAAAGGAGGCACTGCTGTTCAAACAGAAAACACTGCCGTGTATAGATTATTTCATTGGCAGTGCCACCAATCACAGCTTCAAGGACTTGTTAGTTCAAGTATGATTGAAGTCACTATCCAAAAGACAGTTTGAGGATAAAAGGTCAAGTTTGATTGAGGCCCACCAGTAACAGCAACAACTACTACTACTACTTCCTTTTCTTCCTCATTTTTTCCTTAAGGGGGGGTGCAGGAGAGACTATCTCAAGTAGGCTCTGCGCCCAACAAAGCCTCGATCTCATGACTCTTGAGATCATGACCTGAGCTGAAATCAAGAGTCAGATGTTTAACCGAGCCACACAGTTGCCCCCCACCAATACTTCTTTTAGACATGTGAATGGGGGACACCTGAGTGGCTCAGTCGCATGGGCCTTCAGCTCAGGTCCTGATTTCCAGGTCCTAGGTTCCAGCCCTGCATCATCAGGCTCCCCACTCAGTGGGGAGTCTGATTCTTCCTCTCCCTCTGCCCCTCCCCACTGCTCTCTCTCTCAAATAAATAAATAAAATCTTAAAAAAAAATAGACATGTGAATGGAATTAGTAGAAAAAGTGGAGTGAAATACAATGGAGTTTAAATTGACCTTAAGTCCATGTCACAGAAGAAAAGTTACATATTACATTTTTCAGAACTGAAATCTTTTAATTTGAAATAGTTAAGTAATATAAGCAAGTTATTATTTAATGTGGGATGTCTACGGGAATATGTTCCTTTGCAGTGTCATTGCCTTTTCACTTAACCTTTTTGATTCAATCAGATTTTTATTACCATTGGGTTTATTTTGTTATTCTTCTGTTCACTTTTCATTCAACAAACATCATTGAATGATTACTGTGTGTATCTGTGTTGTGTTAATTTCTGGGAACACAAAATTAATAGACTGAGTTCCTGCCCTCAAGGAACTCTCAATCTGATGGAGGATGTGTACATATGTAAAATGATAATTGTAATATAGTGTGATAAATACAGTACTGGGAATACACAAGATGCTTTACATTCTTTCTTTCTTTAAAAGTCATCTTCCCTGGGCGCCTGGGTGGCTCAGTTGGTTGAGCGTCTGCCTTCGGCTCAGGTCATGATCCCAGGGTCCTGGGATCGAGTCCCACATTGGGCTTCCTGCTCAGCAGAGAGCCTGCTTCTTCCTCTCCCTCTGCCTGCCTTTCTGCCTGCTTGTGCAAGTCATGTTCCCTGAAAAGACAACAAGGACTTTCAGGCACATGCTTTCTCTGTAAAGATATTGACATTATCCTCTCTCTCTCCTTCTCCTTTTTTGACAGCAATTCTGCCTGCAGGAAGTAACCACCTCTAACTATATGTATGATAAGGTCATTTTATAATGAAGGGTTTTTAAAGATGAAACCACATTCCTTTCGTCGATGCAGTTGCACTGGAGGTCGAGCATTCTTGTCTGATGTCATTCATGTGGGGAAGAAATTCTTCCCTGAGACCTTGACAAAAAGCTGTAGTGGGTCAAGATGTCTACAGAGGCATTCATAAGTTGATGATGGTATATGACTTGTCAAATGGAAGCGGGCTACAGGCTAGGAAGTAAGGATCTCCAGCAGGCTCCTATTTTTTTCTTGGAGTCAGATCCTACAATCCCTGAAGGGTATGTTAGCTATGGTAGCATTAGAGCTCTTTAAATATTTTATTTGATTTCTTCAAATCTGGATTTTTACTTCGTTCAATAAAATTCTTTTGAGGCTGTGTCGAGCAAAAAAAGAAAACATATCTACACACATCCAACTATCCTCCCCCCACATCCACATCTTAAGGTGGGTATGTAGGGTTCTTGAGGTGGATCTTGATTGGGGCAGCCATTCTGAGAGAATTCAAGAGGAAAGTGAAATATGAGGGACAGAGCCACAGTAGGAAGATTGAGTAGATAGTGTGAAAAAGGAAGATGTCATTTCCTTATATTTTATGCCAATTTTTCTAGTGTCGCTACATTGCTTCCCAAGTCATGACTTGTCTTTTCTCTCTCCAACTCTAGTTCAGTTCTTACTTGCACATCTTTTTTCTCCCTAGTCAAGCCAGACAACCTTTTTGGGGGGCATTTTCTGCTTTTGTGCCATTTTCTACTTACTGATATCCTTTTTCTTTTTTCAACAACCTTAGTATCGCCTTCCTTATAGATATACTAACTTATGTCCCACAAAGCTGAGCTCAGATTCCACCTCTGTAAACATTTAATGACATAGTGGATTGAAGTGTGAACTTTTATCTTGAAAGGAAACTTAAAAAAAAAAAAAGATTTATTTCTGTATTTGTGAGAGCAGTGGTGGGGGGTGGAGAGGCAAAGGGATTGAGAGAGAGAGAGAGAGAGAGAGAGAGAACCTGAAGCTGGCTCCACACCCAGTGGGTGGAACACAACTTGGGGACTTGATCTCACTATCTGAGATGATGACCTGAGCCAAAATCAAGAACTGGATTCTTAACCAACTGAGCCACCCAGGTGCACTGAAAGAAGACTTTTTAAGTGAAATTTGAATGCTATATTGCTGTATCTTTGTCTTGTGTTAGAAGAATGTAACCGTGAGGTAGCTTGGGCTTTTGGTCCAGGGATCTTTTTCTCCAGTGAAATTTTATAAGAAATGCTTAATAGGGGGGTCTTGCTGGCTCAGTAGGTGGAACGTGCAACTCTTGATCTAGGAGTCCTGAGTTTAAACCCTGGGGTGGGTTTAGAGCTTACTTTAAAAAAAAAAAGAAAGAAAGAAATGCTTACATAAAAACAGATATTGATAGCACTCCTTTAATACAATTTACTATGTTCAAATTTATAACATTTACATACTTAAGGCAATTCTTGAACACAATGAGGTTGCTCTAATCTTTTCAAAAAATTACAGTTAAGTTTTTTAGTTATGGATGAGAATGATCACTTTAATAGTTAATTTCTTTCTGTATTTTGTTTACAACCTTAAGCCTTCAGATACTTACACATTTTAATTGGTGTATTTTAGCATAAAGTACAGGCTGTAACATAAAGACCTTTTCCTATCAGCCAACTCTGTCAAGCCTAATATTTTGCCATACTTTATCTTTTTTAAGAAAACATTCAAGATAGAGTTGAAATTCTTTGGAATATTTCTTTTCCTATTCTATTCCTAATCCCATTCTTTTTCCTCCCTTCTGAGTTAAACACTCTCCAAAAAGATACAACTGTATTTTATAATACAAATAACACACAGGCAAATATACTATATGTATTGTTTTGCATGTTTTTAAACTTCATAAAAAAGTGTCATTCTTTGTCATTTGTATCTTGTCATTCACCATTTTTGTGAATTATTTCTGTCATATTTGTAGCTTTAGTTTATTAATTTTAACAGTTGTGTGTGGTATTCCACTGTATGGATATACCACATTATTTGTTCATTCTCCTTTTGATGGATATGAAGTTTTTTCCAGGTTTTTGCCATAGACAACAGTACAGTGAAAATTCTTACCCATGTTTTCTTGTTTTCGTGAGTGAGAGATTCTCTAGGGATTATATCTTGAAGTAAATTCGTTATTTAAAGTATAGATAGTTCGGGGTGCCTGGGTGGCTCAGTTGGTTAAGCGACTACCTTCAGCTCAGGTCATGATCCTAGAGTCCTGGGATCAAGTCCCACATCGGGCTGGGAGTCTTCTTCTCCCTCCCTCATGTGTTCTCTCTCTCTCATTCTCTCTCTCTCTCTCAAATAAATAAAATCTTTAAAAAAAATACAGATAGTGCAGACTTGCAAAATATTAGTGCAGAACTGTCTTTCCAAGTGCATGTGGAAGATTTTACTCCCACCAACAGTGGCAGTGAAGTTCTTTCTTGTTCCACATCCTTACAAACCCTGGGTGTTGTCATATTTTTAAATCTCTTCCAAGTTGATGGGTGTGAAATAGGGCAGTGTTTTCATTTCAGCTTCATTGCCAGTGAAGTTGAGCATCTTTTCACATATTTCGTGGTTTTGTTTTCTTTTTCTGTAAATTACCTGCTTGTTACTTTTGCTTACTACTGTGTTGGATTATTTTGTCTTACTGAATTTTAGAGTTCCTTATACATTCTCTACTAATCTCTTGTTGGTTGTGTGAATTGCGAATATGTGTCTCAGTTTGTTGCTTTTTATTTTCTGATGTCTTTTATTAAGAAAATTTAGGATTTTTTAAAAGACTTTACTCATTTGAGAGAGAGAGA